TTTAATTTAATTCCTTATTAATTATTCGTTGAATCATGAAATAATCAACTCTTTAAAATTCCAGTAACTGAACTGAAAATTAAAGTTAATTCATTCCTATGTCATTTTGAAAACTTTGCGTACCCTAAGCTTGCAAAATAACACAAACAAGTGGTACCTAATGAGCTGACATTTTGCCGAATAAAGCCTTCAGAAGTACTGAAATGAAAATTTTCAGAGGTAGTTATTTGTTTTGAAAAAATAATAATCTTGATAATAATGCATATTTTGTCATTTCCAATCCTAATTTAGGAAATACTACTAATGATGTAAATAACACAAACCTTCAAAAGTTGAATTTTGATTTCAATGAGAGACAGAACGATGCATATAAAGTCAGTTCAAACAAATCATATCATAAAAAAATGTTCGCTTACCTACCCTCAATTTATATTGCATATCTGCTTCGTAAACTGTCATCTTATCATTATCCAGGAACTAAGGAATACAAATAATAATAAATTTCACAATCGCCGATTTTACCTTATCAGTTGTCACTAATTTTGTGGCATTCTGAATTTCAGTATTTCGTAAAGTTTTAAAATTACCTAGGTCTTCTTTTTGAATATTTTCACTTGTTCGAACATGGATTTTGTTAATATCGATTGAACTTCTCATATCTAATTGTGAAAAAAACTTATCAATAAGATTCATTTTGATTTACACTATATAAGTTTAACAAAACCACGACACTTATTACCCTATACAATAGCTTCCTCAATCCTTCTTGAAGAAGCTATTGTATAGCGAAACACGTGTCGCGATTTTGTAAAATTTCCATTTTGAAATTCGAAATAAATCTTATTAGTAAGTTTTGATATGGACATTTATCAAGTATCGGCCAGTTCCATTTAGTATCTAATTATAAATTCAGAGAGCCATTCACGTCATACGTGACAGAACATAGAACAAAGTAAAAACAAAAAACTCCTCTCAAAGTTAAGTTGAAAAATATTTGAACCGGATTGACAAAAACCTTTCATTGGAGCATGGTGTCAAACAGGTATGCATACCTTGATCAAAGCCTTCTCTATTTTCGTTACATTATCAGCAGCTTTAATGGATTTGTTCGGAACCTTGTTTGTGATTCGTTGAAGCAGATTTTTTCAAACTATGAATAAGTCTCATCTTTCAATGTTATAATGGTGTATGTTTCAAAAAGCCATGCAGTTAAGTTGAATCAAGATATATTGGACTAGATCAAGGCTGCCCCAAATCAACCTCAATAGATATTTGTTCTTTCAAACATTTGCCGAGAGCCTCTGTTCCACGTGCCTTCAATGCCACTTCTATATAATGATTCACACATTCTTCAATAAACTGTAGGATTTTTTGTTCTACTATTTTCAATTTTGCGAACCTCGCTCACAGGTGAGGCAAAGTTTGTTTGTTTTCGACCCCGTATAAGGTATCTTCATAAAATATATGTTTTTAAAAAAGTTGTTTGTATCTAAAAGTAAACACATCAATATTACGAAAATAGTTCACGTGAACAGGCTCGAAATAGTTTGATAATAATCAAGAAGTAGAATTTTATAAATATTATGATGAAAATTTGACTTTATTTAGTTCCACTATTTTTTTTTTAAATTGAAAAGCCTTCTCTATTTTCGTTACATTATCAGCAGCTTTAATGGATTTGTTCGGAACCTTGTTTGTGATTCGTTGAAGCAGATTTTTTCAAACTATGAATAAGTCTCATCTTTCAATGTTATAATGGTGTATGTTTCAAAAAGCCATGCAGTTAAGTTGAATCAAGATATATTGGACTAGATCAAGGCTGCCCCAAATCAACCTCAATAGATATTTGTTCTTTCAAACATTTGCCGAGAGCCTCTGTTCCACGTGCCTTCAATGCCACTTCTATATAATGATTCACACATTCTTCAATAAACTGTAGGATTTTTTGTTCTACTATTTTCAATTTTGCGAACCTCGCTCACAGGTGAGGCAAAGTTTGTTTGTTTTCGACCCCGTATAAGGTATCTTCATAAAATATATGTTTTTAAAAAAGTTGTTTGTATCTAAAAGTAAACACATCAATATTACGAAAATAGTTCACGTGAACAGGCTCGAAATAGTTTGATAATAATCAAGAAGTAGAATTTTGAGTGTGTTTAATTTTTATAAATATTATGATGTTTATAATAGAAAATTTGACTTTATTTAGTTCCACTATTTTTTTTAAATTGATGTGTAATACCTACTCTTAGACAGTAACTATTTTTTCAATAATCGACTTTTAACGAAGTTAACTTGAACAGGGTCGAAAACAAATGAACTTTACATCACCTTTCACCTGTGACGAATTTTCAATAGCCTCAATTCGATTTTTTAAAAAAACACACATTTAAAATGACTTCACTTTAAAAAAAACTCATCTGCAATAAATCATTGTCAAAATTTAAAAAAATTATGTAAATTGCACTGAGACTTATTTTTCAGCAGTGGTGATATTCAATTCAAAATCATCTTATGCAGCTGCGTTTTCGCATATGGACAAAAAATTATATTTATAGAAGAGATGGAAATATTTCGAATCACTTCACTACATTTGTTTTGGATTAAGTATTTTTCATTTCGATCGAAGTAGAGATTGATGCCAAAGTCAAATTTTGAATAATGCTATTAATTACAAAAATTCCCGCATGTTGCGGGTTTTACCGGTCACATTATGTATTCGAAATTTGGTATAAATGTTGATTTTCTCTTAATATGAAATTCCACCCAAATAAATGATATCCGTACAAAAAAATTTAAAATTTCTTCAATTGCACCTGATCAAATTGAACCAAATTATAAAAATAATGATTGACCAATAGATAAGATTTTATGGCTCTCTTTCTATAAAAAAAAACTGAAAGCAATTTTTATTGCAAAATGGTCCATTATAAGTCTCAGCTTCAATGACTTATAAATAAAGTTCTTGAATAGTAAGTACGTACAAACATTTTTCACCTGTAGCTATTTTGTAAGTTTGTTAGTTATGTTAAGCTGTTGAACTTTTCTATCATGCGATTCAATTTTTAAAGTATATGTTTCCTTTTCTTTTATAACCTAGTACTTACATACCACATACCTACTAAAGATTCAGGTAAGTACATGTGAATTTTGAAAGGAAAATAAATTCAGGCTTTAGCTTTCTGAAGCAATTTCATACCGATTGATTGAAATGATTTGGAAAAAACATTTTGAACAATGATGAACAAAACAAAACTTCACTCCATACAGTTGATTTCTCAATTTTATGGAGTGAATTGAATTATATTCAATTACATATGCAATTTTTAGAATATATTTTTAGTTTTTTAACTTCACAATTTGATGTACTCGTACTAGGAAAATCTTTATAATTATAAGCTTGTGCAGAAAACCAGTTCTCTTCAACAATAACATATTTGTATACCGTACTATAAAGATAATTCATGCTGACTTGCCTGCGGTAGTGTAGTTAACGTGTAGATTATTAACCATACCTTTACAAAATTTCTTTTTATAACAAATCCCTACCTTCAATTGAGTGTTTTGAATCCTCTGTTATGGTGATGTGATGTTTATTGAAATAAAGTTGAAAGTGAAAAACATCATAAGAGTAATGTTTTAACTACACATAAAATTTGTACCTACCTAGATATAACCACCCATATCAACTTTCGATTTATTCACCTATATGAATAAAAGTGGGGCGAGTTAAAATTTTACAAATCTGAATTCATGCTGAGTACCTTTATACAAATCAATAAAACCGTTTCAAAATATATAACCTATACCTATTATTTCAATAGGATGTTTCATAGAAATGTCAATCACCTTCGCAAACTTTATTAAAGTGACTTACACCACTTTGTTGCAAGAAAATGCCAGATAGGATATTTAAATCAAAATTCAGTTCAAGAAAAACACGTTATATTTTTAATTACAACGGCTTTTCAGAAAAAAGAATAATTCCTTCACATAAATACATACTTAGGAAACAGAAATAGATAGATATTTCAAAATAATGAAGGAATTTAGCCCGTCGCTACTTTTGCGCACGTCTGGGCTGATTTTAAAAATTGAATAACTTACAGCCAACATTTCCGGGGATCCTCGCCCCTTGTCTCTATCCGTTCGGTCCTCCAGTTTGACAGCAGACCCACAAAGCCCCTTAGGCAGTACAACACTCACACACACCGTCAAAAAAGAAAAAAAGTAAAACCTATAAGTTTCAGCACAACACTCGCGCACAGGCAACTCAGTGCGTCATAGGTTGTGGATCCGTTATAAAACAATAGAATAGCGACAATTTACGCATACATTCATGTGTTTTGATTGAAACTGAGTTAATTCGAGCGCCACTTGCTGCCGATTCCCAGTTTCATTCAACCCCACCGCGCATACATAATATCACACTATAATTTGCGTTTTTTGTTTTATTTTCCTTCGCTGCCCTCCTCTGTCTGGGGCGGCCATGCATCCGTAAAACCCGCCCAGTTAATAGCACCCTCAATTATGGTGACTGGCCTGACATCTACCGGGATTTTGAAGAACATAGCTTTGTAATTATAATGGGAGATGGCAGCACTTTCCAGTATAAAATTTTGAATGCTACCACAGTTACTTTGAAATGAATTTTTGAAACGCATAATTATGAATACTTGTAAAAACTGATTTTTCTCAAAATCTGTTCTCACCAAAGTAAAAATTATAAACATAAAATCAAACTTAACCCTGAATTGACATACCAACCAATAACAATTCCGGTTTATAGGTAGGTGCCTACCCAAATAACTAAAAAGTCGGGGATAATTTCTAAGCATGCATTAATGCATGCTAATGTTTTGTTAATGTTTGATAATTAATGTTTTGTGTAAGATAAAAATCAATTCATTATGTTTGATGAAAGCTGAATCATTATTTCATCATTCCTAAAAGTATAGAATTACAATTTCAATATAACTATTCAAAGAAAAGGCAACCAGTAAAAAGTATGGCATTTAATAGATAACAAAATAAAGTCTTTGCACATTTGTCAATATATACATATTTACATAATTCGAAAATATTTACACTGGTCCCAAATATTGCCTTGATAACATGAATTATACAAGTCATTGTTCACTAATATTTGGCAAATACAGTCCTTGATATCCGCCATATAAACTACCAGAATGTAATAAGTTATATTGGGCTAGATGAGGTTGTGGCATACTGGTTTGTGAAGATTGGGATTTAATCACAGCTGGTTGGATTTCGACCTTTGTTGTTAAAGATGGTGAATCCTCATCCTTAAGGGTCGTCAACTCTTCCTTTTTGCCATTATTTCCACCGTTCTTGTGTGTTTTCAAGTGCTTGGTGAGGTGGTCCGACCTCATGAATCTCTTTGAACAAATGTTGCAAGCAAACCTTTTTTCACCGGTATGTGTTCTGAGATGTCTTTGAAGCTCATCTGACCTCGTGAACCGTTTTCCACAAAACAACCAATTGCACACGAATGGTCTTTCTCCTGTGTGCCATCTCAAATGAGCTTGAAGATGAGAAGTTTTTCCATAAACTTTGTCACAACCTGGATAGTGACAAATATGGACTTTCTTCGATGAAGGCTTTCTCAATCCATTTTCTTCGTTGATACAATTCGGACACTGGCACTTGATACACCTCCTCGCCTTGGAAGAGTACGATGAATACTCAGAAACTCCAATTTCCGGTTTGATCATCATTTTTGACGAGAAAGGGCTAATGTAGTTTGCCTGTGCCCACTGGTATTGTTGATTTACTGTTTGCTGGGGCTGATATCCGCTAGTTGCAATGTCTGCAGGAGGCGGTGAATGCTGGAACCAATATTGGTTCGGGTAATGACCGTAGGAAGGTTGATAATGTGGCGAGTACTCCAAAGGTGATCGCGCTGATTCCAGTGGGACCTGGGAGACGTATCCGTCGCTGCTACAGGATGTAGTTGAGGCTGGAGAGAGCTGGGTGTGACTGCCAAAGGGTTGAGGAGTATACATCCTATTGCAGGTTGCTGCGAGTAAATTGAGTGGGGGGATCTGAAAGAAAAACATTAAGTTCAATGAATGTTTCATATATAGCCATTTATATTTTCAGTAGAAGAGAGTAGGAGTATAGTATCTGATATGTGAATTTAAAGATTGAAGGCCAACTTAAATTAGCAAAACTGAGGTTTCCAGGTTACTTTCCAGTTGGAAAATTATTTTTTTGAAATATTAGTAAAACTTTCGTTTCTTCATTTCAATTCATTTTTTCCCAACACCAAATCGTTATTTTTAACACCTCGACACGTTTTTCGATCACCAAGTGATCATCTTCAAAGAGGAAGATTAAAACTAGAAACTAATGCGAAGCTAACCCTATTTTTGCTATATAGGTATCCCATACAGGTAAACCATCCAGGCGTACCACGCATATAGGTATACTAACCTAAATTAATTTTACAATTTTGACTTATCTATTATTTTACAATAAAGTCGTACAAAAAAGTACAAAAAGTTATTTTACAATAAAGTTGGGAATTCGGAAAAGTCTGGAATTTACGAAATTGAATGCGAGGCAAAATATTATGGACAGACAAAAAGATCTATTAAAATAAGATATAAGGAACACATAGCACACTTTAAATATGGAAGACCTGAAAAATTAGCAGTCGCCCATCATATTTTGCAACAAAACCATTCCATAGACATCAGTTCATTAAGATTAGTTAGACAAGTTAACAACAACAGGCAACTAGATGCCTATGAGAGTGTAGAAATAAGTGAACACAATAATATTATGAATAACGATGACGGACCTATACCAAAGAGCATACTATATAGCTTGTTAAAATAAAATAATATTGTTGGGTTTACTGATTACTACATAAGGACACATTGCAAGAATGAATTTGGATAGGCAATATTTTGAAATTAATTTTATATAGCTGAAAATTGTTTTATATAAACAATATTGTAAAATAATAGATAAGGCAAAATTGTAAAATTAATTTGGGTTGGTATACCTGTATGGGTGGTACGCCTGGATGGTTTACTTATATGGGATACCTATATAACATAAATAGGATTAGCTTCGCATTAGTTCCTAGTTTTAATCTTCCTCTTTGAAGATGATCACTTGGTGATCGAAACACGTGTCGAGGTGTTAAAAATAACGATTTGGTGTTGGGAAATAACTCCAGTAATATTCATTACTACACCAAAGATTCCAAACAGTGCATCATAAGTATAATTATTATTAGTGAATTTCATTCACCTAATGATGGACTAAACTGTTTTGAGAAGCCAATACTCATTTCGTTCCTGATTCTAGGAAATTATATTGGGACTGTGTTCGTATCGATTGATCAATGACTGATATATGATAGAAATAATTGTTTACAAGTGTCAAGGTGTTGATATTATTGATTTCACACAGGAAATGAATTATCATATACTAATAAAGAAAGTAATGAAAACATTTCCTGATGTTACAGAAAAATTACTATCTATATTCTTTTAACGTAAATTTTCACAAAATGCCTACGTTAATTTCATTTACGAGAAAAATGGTGATCCACTGATCCCTCTGTAGCCTAAGTTAGCACTTTTTTTTATAGAACAATTTTGAATAAGTTGAAATTTCTTCTTCTAAGGTCAAAAGTATTTTTTGAATCGGAATAAAAAAAAAATGTGTGGTTCTTCAGCGCCTCCATAATAACCCAATTAGCAAGTTATCTGAATAATATCAGTTGCCACATTGTTTTTCATTAAGTCGATATCTAAAAGATGATGTTTGTATAACAAATAGGTAAGTATGTTAATGAAATTATTATCCACTGAGGATACATTATAAAAACTACAATAACAAACTTTTGTCTATTTTCCACGATAGATCTATATTTGTTAACTAGTTTCGGTCATTTGAAAATGGTGTAAATATCGTGGAAAGTAGAAAAACGTGTGTTTTTATAGTCTTTATAGTGTATCCTCAGTGAACATGAATTTTCACAAAATTAACAAGTCGTCAATCAAACAAAAAATTAATGTATTGTAAGGCAGTAGTTATTGTATTATGCATTCTTAGGCATATTAATATTGTGAAAAGGGTCTAAGGAATAAAAGTTATGGCCCGTTCATGAAATGGTTCAAAAAATTGATTATCTTGCTTTGAATATGCCTATCGCAACAAAGTCGAAGATTTTGAAAGGTGCGGTAATCTTTTTTCTTGACCGCTTTTTCTACATGTACATCCACCATAATTTAAAAGCAAACCTTCATCATAAAGAGCAAAATAAATCGATAAGAGCAGTAGATGCAGCAATTGTGTTTAGAATATAGAAATGGGGAGACTGCTGATGACATAATCCATCAAGTTTAAACCTATTAAAATTTCCCCTAATCTTGTTCAATTCAAACATTGAAATCTCCTCTGTTAGTTGGTTGGTGTTCAAAATCTTCATATCTCGATATCTGTTTATTATATATCAAGTCCCAAATCTAGCAACAAATATATTATTAATTGACAAGGCCCATCACAAGTTGTACCTATATAATCAAATCAAAAACATCCTTAATCTTGCAACTAATTTATTATGAAATGTTCAAAGCTCGAAGGTGAAATTTATTATCTGGTATTCAGGTCTCTCAGTAAATCGTAATATGATAGTGAAATTGGGAAATATTTGCAATGATATGGAGCAATTTATTTCCTGTTCTAGATGTGAGATTTCGATAGGTCTATTCCAAGAAATTCGATATCACCTGAATGTATTGAAGTAATATGAAGATTCTGAATTTGGCTTCAAATCAGATCATTGTGGGTTTGTCAAATTGAACATAAGAACTATTCAAACCGGGAAAATTTTTCAAAATGTATACGAACTAAAATAAATATTTCGTCTGAGTGATAACATATTTCAAAAACTGAACATAAATCTAATTTAAAGTCAAAATTATATAAAGAGTTGGGTTGAGAGGGGGATGCTGAAAAATATAACATCTTTTATATACTGAAGCAAATATTACCTAAGATGAACGTGTTTAAAAAATTTGCTATATTTAATATTGGTATTTTTAATATTGCTAATTTTGGAGCAGTGAATGAAAGATGGTGATTTTTTTTATTAAAGATGGGGTAAATTTTCAAAGGGCGTTAAAAAAAATATGAATAACTAAGTATACTTCCGAGTTTTTGTAAATATAAAAGCATAGTTCTAGCAAAAATCTTCAATATTATTAATAAACCACAACCACACGATAATAAGGGGTTATTCCGTCTCGAAGATTATTATAATTAAAAACACGCACCTGATGCGATTGCGCACTAGATCCTTGATGGTACTGAAGTGGAACCGAAGATGCCATCATTATTCTCGACAATCTCGACACTTAAACGATGCACTAATAACTGAGTTGGCAGAGATTCCGGCGTCGCTAGGAGAAACAGATGACGATCTTGATGACCGGGGGCGTGGATGCGCAAGGGAGTTGCGCTACGACCCGGCTCCGGGCCATCCCGGACCCAAAGGGGATGCTGAGACGATCTTTCTCCAAAATCGACGCAATCAAAAACGACCTTCTAGTTATTGCTTGGAGATCGTTATCTCGTTGAATCAAGATGAAATGATCACTGACTTCGAAAGGCATCAGTGCCACCGAAGTTTCTTTTAGCAGTCACAATCAAAATTCAAATCTTATATTTGAAAAAGGATGTTTTCACTGTAATTGCATTTTGAGACCGTTACTCACCTACACCTGATTGACATATAGAGATATAGATATAGATCAAGATAATAAACATTTTATAAGGAGATTATTCACTTATTCACACGTGTTTCGTATTTATTAATGTGTATTTATGTGAAAGTATGACAATTCAATGATTATTTATCATGGACAGGAACGTTCATCACATTAGAACTAATTATGTAAAGTATATTTTTCACTTCTTCAGTTATTCATATGTTCATTCATCATCTTTTTATTCTGCAATCTTCGAATTTTGTCGTGATATACCAGGTGGTTCAAAAATGGATAGGGGAAACTGCCTTTAGGCTCGCACTGTATAAACCCTCAAGTAATTCACAGAGATAATCAAAAATCATTATATTCGATGAATGTGATTGATTTTTTTCTTTGAAAATCAGTTAAAAAGAAATGTCGGAGTTCAGATAAATTTATTTTCTACAAAATGAAATAGATTTCAAGCATTACTTTAATCTGAAAATATTACGAATTTGTAAAGTGATGTAAAGGTATGTTCTTTTTTGCTTTTGAGCAACCAAAACGATCCTTTTTTGGTTCGGATCGTCACGTGTGATTAAAAGTGGACCTTCTACGATAACAGGGGAAGTTCAGGGCAGTGGTGGGACACCGATTAGCCACTCAGGTACATTCCAAAAGCGAAAAATCACCAAAAAAGATCATGGTTACTGTGTGATTCACTATTTCTTTTTGCAAACGTGTCAAACCCAAAACAGCAGAATCTAATTGTGAGGAAATCGATGAAATATACCAAAAATTGCGTCAACAGCAGCCAGCACTGGTCAACAAAAGAGGTCCGATCCTACTCCACGACAACATCCGTCCGTACGTTTCACAAATCACCGTCTGAAAATTAAACGAATTGAGCATCGAAGTTCTGCCTCACCCACCATATTCTCCAGACCTCTCGCCAGCCGTATATCCACTTAGAAAACACTTCGATAACTTTCTCACCGGTAGAACCTTCTTCATTCAGGACCAGGCAAAACGGCCTTCGACGACTTCATCGAATCCCGATCACTTCATTTTTATGTTGACAGAATTGATGGACTTGTGTTACGTTGATAAAAGTTCACTGAGCAAAATAGCCCATAAAAACGGATAAAACTTTTGAAACAACCCAACATATAATACATTAAGAAATAATAAATACATATTCATACATATATGCTGAAATATCTGGAAACTTCACCCATATTCCATCTGCAAGGATTGGTGTCTAAACATTTTACAGCAAACACTTTCGTATTATTGGAATTCAACAAATGTATATTTCTCAAGCAAAAGTGATTCAATATTCTCCGACATTTTGATGAAACGCTCTTGTTTTACCAGAATCATAACGATCTCACTCAAAGTGAACAATCCGCCACCAATAATTATCATTTCGTGGGCTGTTTTTGTTATTTATAGGTACGCATTGATGTTTTATTGTGTCGGATGGAAAAAACGTCTACGAAAACTATTGGTATCAAAATTAATAATATGTCTGTTGATTATAGATTGAGAAAACTAATTAAATTCCTGAGAGTTAATAAGTGGGTATCAATAGACAACCTGTAAAAACTTCAAATAGTTTTCTCAACGTATCTTGATAAAGGTATAGTGTGATGTAATCCAAATTTATGTCCCCACAATATTTCAATACAAAATAAAGTTATTTTTACTTTCTTTTAGTTCATTGAAATGGGCGGGATCCCACATCAAATTTGTGACCTTGGTTTTTAGGATCTCTTGTAGAGTTAGGTATAGGTACTCTCTCTATGAATTAAGAATTACGAAATGCTTGAAAAATTTCATTTCATAATCCAAAACATGGAAGTTCAATGCTTTCAAGCTCACCAACATGATTCAGAGTTTTCATGTGCATCATTGGGAGTGTTAGATTTATGATTGCCAGAGGTTCCAGTTTTACGTTTCATTCGATAAACTTTTGACTACCAAACCCGATTAAAAATGAAACCAGTGTATAGGATTTGAAGCTTTATAGCTTTATTTAATGTTATGCGAGCGCTCTACTCAAACTGAGTAGAGCCTTGGTGATGATAGCACGACCAGCTGACGAAAGCGCTCGTATATAATTGAATAGAAGTTATAAAGCTTCAAATAATTGCCCACCACCTGCAGTTTTGCGAGCTCACAACGCCATTTGAAGAGAAGGTCGCTTCATCTGTCCATAAAATTTGATAAGGAAAATGATAATTTACTTCTTTTTCCCCTTGTAACCAAAAAGAAAAATACAAGCGCATATCGAAGTCCCTTTCTTTTAATGTATTGATAAATTTGGGTTTATAAGGCGTAAATTTATTTTTGTGTAAAATGCGTCGTACACTCTCTCGGTTAACATCTGTTCTATCTGCAATATCTTGAATACTTATTTTTTTATGTTCTACGACATCCAAACATATTTCAAATTCCACCTCTTCAGTACGTCTAGAAGGCTGATGTGCTAAAATTACTCTCACAACCGAGCCAGTAGATTTAAACTTAGCTATTATCCTACTAACTGTTGATTGATGAATATTTCTTGCAGGATGTCTGGCATTGAAAATATCAGCTACTTGTCGGTGACCGGTATTCTCGCCGCATATTAAAACGATTTCAATTTTCTCTTGAAGATTCAGCATTTTTAACAACACACTAGGCAACGAATAAACTATTTTAAATCTAAAACTATTTTGAGTTATTCAACAAATGTCATATGACAATAAAATATTTTGCTTATTCAGTTCAGTTCAATTGTTTCCACAGTACCCTTAGTTTAATTTTGTTGTAATTTTTCGTAATTAGTAAATCAAAGTTTAACTGTTTGAAAAGTGCAGTAAAGAATAAATTATTGACTTTTCATTGATATTGTTTTTTAATTATGCTTATGTATCAAGCTATTTTGCAAAAAGTAGAAATAAAGTGAAATATTTATCTGTTTCTAAAAACTGTGTTTCGGGCTTTTGGCCCATCATCAGTATGGTGCAGCCAAGTGTATGGATGGGCAACACTTGGTTACCAAAAGATAGAAATACAAATGCACGGGGCCACCAACAAGAGCCAACCGCACATTTGTGGTTTCAGTTGATAGATCTTGTGTTTACAAGGAAACTATCAAAATCACCACGGAGGCAGCTGTAGCTACCTGCGTGACATCCGGGTCGAGAAAATTATACAAATATGAAAGTTATTGAGTGTCTTGATATAGAAACAGAAGTTAATATCGGACATAGCACTCATGTTGGTGGCTCCGTGCATTTGTATTTCTATCTTTTGGTAACCAAGTGTTGCCCATCCTTATAACACTCTTATAACACAATTTATTCCAATATTTCGATTAAGTTTATTATCATTATCAAAATGTCAAAAAGAATGTAACATTTAAATAGTTGAAACATGTCAATAAAATAAAACAAGTTACCAGAATTAACATTTCGTCTACAGTCGCTCTTGTGCATTATCAGAATACAACTAAAAGAATATTTTTGGAAATGATAGATATTAATAACGAATAACATTCAATGAATAAAAGAACTGGTATTGATAGTCTCAGCAAAATTTACACATACCTACTAAAATATGATAAAGAAAATAAAAGATCTAGTATTTCGAATATTATTCAGAATTTACCCACTTGACATTGTCAATCAAATTTTGAACAACTGTCATCATTTCATGTTTTTTTTTCTATCTGTTTTTGAACCATTTTATATTTTATTCTCACGTTAGTAAGTTCTCCATATTTACATATTTGATACAAGATATATAATCTTATTATTGTAGTTGTGTGAAATATACCGAAAGCTTGACAAATAGCAAAGAGTTTTCTTTGTAACAGCCCAGCTATTGACTGCAACCTCACAAATTGTATATATTTTCCAGCAGCTTGACAGCATTAACCTTTCTCGATTTAATATCATTTCTAGAAACATGTGGATTCGTTTTCCGATGGCATTTCAGGTTAGCTTCCCAAATTTCTGCTACCGCAGTTGTCGGTTGATTGGTCAAACTACTAACACTGACATAAAAACTTGTCAAGTTGACTTGGGTGTCACATTAATAGGTGATTCCACCACTATGTTGGGGTTTATTCCTTTGAATTCGAACTTCAATTATTCTAACCAAGTAAAACTCCAGTGTTTGCTGTCTGTATTTATTGTTCACTTTCTTAGATGATTACAACACAACCTTCGTGAACTGTATGTTATGTTACTCTCGCAGTGTTTTTATAAAACATATCTTCAAAATTTATTCTACTCTCAGCTTCACTCTGATAATCCTCATCAGTAACAACTAGAACTATCTCATTTTGGATTTGCTCGAATTCGTCAAGCAAACAAGAAGCTCTTTCTAATCGTGAATCTAGTTCCACTATCGAATCATCATTAATTGAGTTTTGGTTCTGAGTAAAATCCTCCAGAAACTTTGTTAATTTTCCCTTAACAATACCTCTTTTGCGATTAAGAACTTTTAATTGATTTTCTAACATGATTTACTAATTGAATTTAATCACCCAAATTGACACAGAAACGAAATGAACCGGAATAAGAAAAAAATTGAACGACTCACCAATTCAGTATAAATTGTTATCTCCGCCACTGTTTCACGGCGGCTATACTTCACCAGGTATCGTATCCACACTCGATACCGCCTTCAATGACTCGACTCCACTCCAATGACTTCCACAGAGATGCACTACGTGTTTCACGTAAGTCCGTACTTTTTACCGTCCAATTAATTCTCCACTTAAAATAGTTCAATACCAATCAACAGCAAACAATTGAATTTGAAAAGCTGATAAACTTTTCTCCAATGTATTTCAATCTCCAAATATATATCCAGGCTCGTATGGACCACTATGTTGGAGTTTATCTATCCCCATGAATTCGAACTCCAATTATTCTAAACAAAAAAAACTCCAGTGTTT